ATAGGCTGATCTGTGCACCGTGTCTCTATCAGTGTATGTCCAGTAAGCTTAAATGTCTAGGACGGTTGGTGTGTGCTCAAATGTGCCACCATTTCCATACGTCGGAGTTTGGGTGTGTTTGCTCATCCGAGTGGGAACTGAGGGTTGGGCAACAACGCATCGGCTTGGTGCACCGTTCTGGCAGAGGAAACGCCCGACTGGTGTGAACCAATAGCGTGAGAAGGTCAATGTTGGCCAATCCTCTAGCCGTGATATATAGCGTTGTAGCGTCAGATCAGTGACGTAGGAAATCCATTCACACATACATACACACAATTATCTGCACAAACAGATACAGTCAAACAATCAAGTATGAGTTGGCTATGTACACAGAGCAAACTCAATTTCCTTTTCGCTTTGTTGTCCAAGACTGTGGGCACACACAGACAGAGTTCCGCACCGAAGTACATGGGCAATTGTCCTGTCTGACTTGCTGGTGGTTGGCTAGTAGCCTGAACTAGTGGTTGGCTCGTTTGCGGAAGTGTGTGTGTGTGTGTAGAGGAGAAAACAATGGAAGTGACCTTCTAATAGGTCGGTCAGTCTGTTGGATTATAGGTGGATGGTGAACTGTTTCATGGTCCCGCCCATTAATGCTTTGCAGCCAGCTAGCCAAAACATGCTTCCCAAATAGAAAACCATTTGAAGCCGAACTGGTTACAACTGGTTATCGGTGTTCCTCGAGGACAGTCGAGGAATAAACATCATCCAACCCAATTCTTGATCTCTCTTTCTGTAAAAACGAACGTGAATTTCCCACACACACACACACACACACACATACACGCACACACACACATACTTATGCCCGGCCTGATTATATGGTTACAACGTGTACTCCTCTTGTGGCTAACACATCTGCCCCGATATTATTCAATTTGCGCACCGCAGCTGGATGTGACCAAATTTCAGTGTTCCCATATGCGTCTGATTGAGGTGCCTGGAAATATCAATCGACAAACCGAGGAGTTGGATTTGTCCAATAATTTAATTGAAGTGTTGCACGAGGACAGTTTCCATCGATTGCACTCGCTACGACGTCTTGTGCTGAGTCATAACAAAATCTACAAGATCACTGAGCGTGCATTTTTAGCAGTCGCACACACTCTGACCTATCTGGATTTACGTAACAATCAGATCATGTCGAACAGTATAACCAGTTTCCCGGTGACTGCACTTGCCCCACTCATTCATCTGACTCACTTGGATCTATCCGGCAATCCAATGGCCGTAATCCCCACGGGGTTTTTGCGTTATATGGGTGCCAATTTGACCCAACTGGATCTGAGCGCCATACCGATGAAAGTTCAAATCCAACCCGGTGCATTTCGTGGTTTGGCCCGATTGCATCGATTGAATTTTGCCGGGAACTCATTCGCTGACTTTAATGAGGAGTCGTTCGAGGGACTCCGACCGGCTCAGTTTTCCCAACTCAGTTTGCACGGGGTTC